GCAGCCACCCCCGCTCGCACAGGGCACACGTGTCCGCCTGCCCGGGGCAGCTGCTGCAGTGGGCCCCACAGGGCGAGCACCCGGCCGTCGAAGTGTTGTAGCCCACCGGGCAGGAGGGGACGCAACGCACCGCCGGCGCACCGGCCGGGAGGGCCAGCAGCTCCGGCGGACAGTCCGGCAGACACTCCGTAGACCGGATGCCGGAACACTCGGCACAGGAGGGATGGCAGGGGAGACACCGGCCCGAGGTGGCCACATGGCCTTCGGCGCACTCCTGCACGCACTGCCCATCCTGCAGGACCTCCTCCTGGTCGGCGCACCGCCAGCAGTCGCGATCGGTCGGGCCGTTGCATGAAGAGCAGGCACCGTGGCACGGCGCGCAGGCCAGCGACACCGGGTCGCGGTATTCCTGGCTCCCGCAGGTAGATACACAGGTGTAGACCCGATCGCCGGACTGGATCATCTCCAGCCCCGGGCCGCAGGCCGTGCACTCGGCCCCGCCGGGCCCGGCGCACTCGGCGCAAGTCACATCACATGGCTGGCATGTGTCGGTCTGCTCGTCGCCATAGCTGCCGGCCGGACAGTGCCTCACGCATTCGCCCTCGCGCGAGAGGAAGCTGCCGCTGGTGCAAGACAGGCAAATGCTCTCGGAGCAGGAGAGGCAATCCGGCGGGCAGGCCACACAGGCCCCGGTGCCGCCCGGGGCCGGGGCCGGCCCGGCCCACCGGTGGCCCGGCGCGCACACCGAGCACACCGCCGGCCCGCCAGTGCACAGGGCACACGACCCGTCGCAGGCCATGCACCGGCCGGGCCCGACATACTCGCCCGGGGCACAGGTGCTGCCACAGAGGGACCCGACCGAGGGATTGGGCGACAGGAAAACCAGCCCCTGCTGGCAGGTGTCGCAGGCGTCGGCCGACAGGCACTTGCCACAGGAGGTGTCACACGGACGGCACTTTCCGTCGGAGTGGAGGAAGTGCCCGTCGAAGCATCGACCGCAGCCATTGCCACCTGGGCAGCTGGCGCAGCCCGCCTCGCACGGCAGACATCGAGTCCCATCAGAGCCAAAGCCCACGGGACAGGTGCCGACACAGGCCCCCTGGTGGAGGAGACTCCCGCCGGTGCAGGATGTGCAAAATGCCGGATCACCCGGAGCCGAGCACCGGCCACAGGATGGATGGCAGGCCGCACACCGGTCGGACCCGGCGGCCACCGGCGCAAAGCCGGCCCCGCAATCCAGACACCGGTAGCCCCCGGCCGGGGGGCCGGCATCCGGACGCAGGCCGCAATCCAGGCAGGTGGGATGGCAGGCACATTCGCCGGAATCCGGCAGCCCGGTCAAGCCCACCGGGCAGGCGGCCAAACAGGCGTCCGGCGCGCCGGGCATGAAGTGCCGGCAGGCGGTGCAGCGGCTCGAGCCCGGGCCGGAGCACGTCAAGCAGGAGGCATCGCACGGCTGGCACTCCGGGCCATACTCCCCGGGGGAGCATGCCAGAGGCCCGACATGCACCCGGAGGAGGGTCTCCGCGCCGGCCAGAAGGAATGTCACCCCGGGGGACAGCTGGAGCCCGGACACCTGGTCCCGGAGGAGAACCACCGAGGCCCGGTCCGGGCGTGGGATCGACTGCTCGAGGTCAAACAACCGAGCACCGGTCAGCCAGCAGGCAAGCTCCCCGGTCGGGGGGCACTCCAGCAAAGCCACCCCCAGCTGACCGGCTGTAACCAGGACCACGGCCGCCGGGTGCCGAACGGCCAGACCGGCCAGCGGGATGACCAGCATCCGGCTCGGACCGGAAGACACCTCGGCCAGGACCTGGCTCAGCCCGGGCATGTGGACGGTCGAGCCATGCGGCCGGGTGCCAAGCGGGAAGTGGCGAACCTGCCACGCGGCCCGATTGGGGCCGACCGCCACCAGGGCCCCGACAAAGAACTCCGCCACCCGCCCGGGAATCGGCACCACCAGCGGCACCGAATCCAGCGGCAGGCTCTCCTGGGTGGCCGGCAATTGGTCCTGCCCGTGGATGACCCGGCTGTCCTGCTTGCGGACCAGCTCCCACGGATGGAGGAGCCCATCCCCGGCGATGACGCCCTGCACCCCGGGAGCCGCAATCCGGAAGAGCCACTCCCGCGGGGGGGCCTCATTCCAGGGGTGAAGTGGGAAGAACTCCGCATGGCCGGCGGTGTGGGGCAAATCCAAACGGCCGAGCTTGCCCCCGGAGTCCATGTGGAAGAGCACCAACTCCCGGGGGGAGGGGATCACCGACAGCACTTGCCCATTGTCAAGCACCCGCAGGGATTGGCACCCGGCCAGAAGGGTCCGCACTGGGCCGACATCCGCCCGGCATGGCTGCTGGGCATTGTCAAGGCCCTCCAGACACCGGTACTCCACGGACCGAAGCTCATTCGTGCTGGAACACACGAAGGCCACCCGCGTGGAGGGATGCCGTCCAGGGCCGCCGGGGATTTCCCCATACTCCAGCACTGTCCCCGGGCCGAAGTCCAGCGCTGCCAGCCGCACGCCGGACACGCGATCCGATGCCTCTTCCAGCATCCATGCCCCGGTTGACCGGAAGCCCAGCAGCGCCCCGGCCCCGGCCGGCTGCGACCGACCCACCAAGTGCACTTCGCCGCCGACCATAACCAAGTGCGACCGGGCCACTGTGTCCAGAGGGGCCAGCCCGTCGTCCGGAGGCCAGGCCATGGGGGTCAGCTGGCTGGTGGCCGCCGGCCAGCGCGGCATGCACCGGGCCCCGGCCTGCACATGGTCCCCGGTGCATGCATCGACGCAGGTGGTCGCCTCGTCGGTGGTCAGGAGGAGAGACCCCTGGGCACAGACGAGACACTGGGACCCGAGGCAAACCTGGCACTTTGGCGGGCACGCATTGCAGCGGTCTGGAAGGAGAAGGAGAGTGGGACATCGGGGCCGGGGGGGGGGGGAGGGGGAGTGCGGTGACCGAGAGGCGGGCGCGGGATTAGCACGCGCACTCGGGAAAGGGCAATGCTCGGGAGCGGGCAACAGAGGAAAGCACCGCCGCAAAAAATAAAAAAATAAAAAACAATCACATACCAGCTGGCTTCCAAGTGAGCGCCGGCACGGTCATGCCCACCTCGCAGGCCCCGCACAGGCTCCCGGGGAAGAGGTAGGGCGAAATGCGGCGCCCCGACTGGCAGCCATACCCGAGCTCGGGCCGGAGCGAGGACGTCGCGCAGTTGATGCTCCGATCTTCCTCACAGTGGAAGGCCCCCGAATCGAGATAGACATACTGGCCATCGGACAGGACCCACTCGTCGGGGCGGGCGCCACCCGCCCGCAGGCGGACCAGCCGCAGGGAAGACAGCAGGCCGGACTTTTCGGCCACCGCCGGCGGGAGCTCAAGCCGGGTCCAAACGGCTGTCCCCTTGTCGACATCGAGGCGCCACAAACGGTCCATCCCCTCAATGTACAGGGCCCAGGTGAGCGGGCCGCCGGGCACCGTGGCCCGGGGGGCCGCCAGCCGGCCGATTTCCGGGCCCCCGGCCGGCAAGGCCACACGTTGGCGGAGCTGGCCGATGGACGCGTCGCCGAGCTGCCGGTCGATGATGGCAATCTCGCGGCTTTCCAAGAGCACAAGCACCAATTCCCCATCGGACACTTGGGGAAGGACGGCCACATCGACGATGGCCGACAAGAGATCCAGTTGGGAGGTCTTCGGGCTTTGGGCCAGTGGCAGGATGAGATGCAGCACCGAGTCGGCCCATGTGAAGAAATGGCCCCTGGAGCCGACCCGGCCGGGCATCATGAGGGACATGGGAGAAAGGGCCAGCGGATGGCACTCCATCACCAGCCCCTGGGCCTGGCAAAGCAGCAGCTCCTCATCGGGCCCCTGCCAAAAGCTGTGAAAGGCATGGCGCTCCTCGCTCCAGGCCGATTCAATCAGGCGAGCCGGGCTCATGTCGAAGGTGGTGGGGGGGGAATTGAACGGCCGAAGGGTCATCGAGGAGGTGCCCACCGAAAAGGTAATCGGCCCGGAGCTGGACGAGACCAGCCAAAAGGCATTGTCCGCGGGAGGGGCCAGCGATGCCGTGGCCTTTTGACTGAAGTACCCCCCGAGCCGGGCGTCCCGGTGCAGGTCCATGAAAAGGTGGTCTTGCGAGTGGATGGCCACCCCGGAAGCGGAGCTGACCGGTAGATCGGTCAGCCCGCCGGACCAGAGCACCATCTCCGGCAGGGCGACATCCAAGAGGGCCGCATGGGCCATGGGAGCGAGAGACCGAAGGAGGGGCAACTTGGCCACGCCGCTGGCCTGCGCCGCGGGGGGCCGATGCGTCGAGAAGTCGGGCCCGGTCAGGGTGCCCGGCCGAAGGTCAGGCCCCTGGCCCCGGGAGGGAGTGGACAGCAGTAGCAAGGTCAACAGCAGGAGTGGCAACACCGAGCCCCAGCTGTCCGGCCTCCATGGTGGCATCGGCGCCACAACCGCCCGGGCCAGCATCGGGAAAGGCGGGGACGAGCGAGCCGAGGGGGATGGCAGGACGGGAATGCGGCACGCCCAAGGCCAAGTGCGGGGGAGGAGCCAGGCTACCGGGGGAGCAGAGCAAATAGGGGCGAAATAAGGATGCAGAAGGAGGGAGCATGAGAGATGAGGGGCAATGCCAGGGGCTGATGGTGCGACCGGAAAAGGGGGAGGTCTTTTTACCCGAGCCAGGGGGGGGGGGGGGGCGGGAGGACGGATTGCGCGCCGTTCTCATGGGGCGCCGGATTTATTCGTCAAACAGCACATCGTGGGCCGCGGCGAACCGGATGGCCAGGCCGTTATCCCTGGCGGGAAGATTGGGCTCTCTCGCCCCGGCCCCCGGCCCCATCCGCAACTGGTTTCCCAGCCCTCTGGGCCTGCCCCCGCGTCCCCGGGGGCTCCACCCGCCACCTGCGCCAGTTGGGGCGGGGGGCGGGGGGGGGAATGCCCCGGCCTCGTGCCGCATGCCGGGTAAGCCGATCGCGCCCGGAAGATCAGCCGATGGCCTGATCCCCCCTCCCTCGGCACCTGTTGCGAGGCGGGAATCGTAAACAAAAACACCCCCCGCGTGGGGAAAAAAAAACAGTCCTGGCTAGCCCAGCCCAGCCCAGCCCAGCCCGGCCTGTCCGGGCACACCGGAGGGGGGAAAACTCGCTGGTCAGATGGGCTGGCCGGCCAGGGGGTGGGCACGAGTGCCCGAGACCCGATGGTCGCAGGATCTGCCCCATGAAAGGCGAGCCCTCGAGCGGCTGACCTGAGGAATGCTCGTTCTGCTGCTCCAGATCCCGGCTCCATATGCGTTGATGCCTCACTTGTTGACGAGTCGAGTGCCTTGTTGTCCTGAAACAGCGGGGCATCCTCCAAAGCAGGGGCTCCTTGGCGGACATGGGGGCGGGGGGAGGCGCGCGCCCCCCCCCCCCCCCCCCCCCGGGGCACATGCAATTGTATGCAAGAAAAGGTGTATTTCCATGTGCAATAATGTATGGCCCCTCTCGATGGTCTCGAACATCGGAGGACTCCTCGGCCTTGGCGAAGCTACTTTTGGAGGAGCATGGCGTGGGCTGCGGCGCACTTTTGTCGGAAGGACGCCGCCAAGGGACGATCAGCCGCACGGGCGGCCCAGGCCAATGGCAGCAAATCCTCCAACGGGCTGCCCCGGAGCTCGGCATTGTGCTCGGGCCCGATGGCCTGGTGCATGTCCGGTCGAGTGCCGGCCGGGACCTGCTCAAACAGGGCAGCCAGCTTGATGCCCTTGAAGGCCACTTTCCGGGACAGACACTCCCAGGCCATGATCGCGGCGCTGTACACGTCCGCCGGCAGGAAGAGGTCTCGGGCCAAGGGCCGCCCCCGGTGGAAGGCCTGCATCACTTCCGGCGAGGCATATCGCGCCGTCATGGCATTGAGCTCCAGACCGGCGGTCAGCAGGGTGGACGACCGGTGAGCACTCAAGTCCACGGCGGTGCCCAGGTCCCCGAGCACCGCGCGCCAAGACCCATCGGGCTGCTGGCTGACAAACACATTGTCAGGCTTCAGGTCCCGGTGTGCGACCCCGTGCCCATGCATGGCCTCCAGTCCGGTGGCTATGGCAAATGTTAGTGCCCAAAGGCCCGACAAAGGCCGGATATGGTGGAGGGGAGGTCCGGCGGGGAGAAGACACTCGCGCCGGGTGAGAAGCACGCACCCCACTGTTGAATGATATCCAGAAGGACCGGCAGGCCGAGGACGATGTCCGAGGCGAGAAGAGTGAACAAGGTGCCCTGGTGCTGCTCCATCACCACAGCCGGCGGGGTGTCGGAATACCCATGCAGGCGGATGATGTGCGGCTCATCGCGAAGGAGCCACATGATGGCCACCTCGTTCTCGAACAGGGCCAGGCAGCTGTCGTTCATGGTCGTGGCGCGGAGGGCCTTGATGGCAACGGTCGACCCGCAGCCCAGACGCGCGGCCAGCCCCGGGGCCATGGGCTGCGCCGAGTAGACAGACCCCTGGGTGCCGGTGCCCAGGTTCCCCTCATCGATCGGCCGGAAGTCCGTGTTGATATCGACCAGAATCGACCCAGGAAGGGAGAGCTCTGCCAAGCGAGGACGGGTCAGACGCCAGAGAAGGGGGGCCTTGGCAAGTGGGTAGTCGATGACCGCGTACCAACAATTGTGTTCATGACCGTGGCATCTTCGGTGGAGCGAAAGAGACAGACGGTTTAGCCACCTGGGGGGCAATCAGAGGGGGGGGGGGGGGAGCAGGAGAAGAGGAAACCCATCAAACGCACTCTCATCGGAAACGCTGTCCGCGGACTGAAAGGCGGAGGGGCAGGAAGGAAGGTCAGATGGGTGGACATGGCTTGAGGGGGTGGATCCACATGCACATATACATATATATATGTGTGTGTGTGGGAGAGAGACAGAGAGAGAGAGAGAGGGGCAAGGGGGAGATGCGTACCAGGCCCTTGTTATCACGAGCGCGTCGCCTCAGGAAGAGCACCAAAAGAAGGAGCAGCAGCAGCAAGAAGAGCCCGAGCCCGAGTCCCAGCCCAAGAGCTGAGGGTGTGGGAGGGGCGGAGTTAGGAGGAGATGCTAGACTTGCGAGAGGGGAGGGGGAGGCGTGAGCCACATACCGAGACGTCGGGACCTGTCAACATTGGCACCATCCAGACAATCTTCCCGGCCGGGGCCATCGCACATGGAGCAGCTGCGGTCGCATGCCAGACAAACTGGCGGGAAGGCCTCCCAGTCGGCGAAGAACCCGGTGCTCGGGCAGGCGGGCACGCACGACCCGCCGTGGAGCAGCAGCTCCAACGCGCACCGGGTGCAGGTCCCGGGCACCGGGCACTCGACTCGCCCGCTCGGCCCGAGCTTGCATGCCCCGGCCATGCCCTCGGTCGTGCACGCCTCGCACGTGTCCGGGCAGGCCAGGCACACCCGGTCCGGCGTGGCCCCGGGGAAGACCGCCTCCACGAAGCCGGTCCCCGGGCAGGCCGACGCGCAAATGCCGGCCTCCTTCTGGAGCCACAGCGAGTTCCCGGGGCACGAGGTGCAGAATGTCTCGGCGCCGATGCAGGTCCGACAAGAGGCATGGCAGGCAAGGCAATGGGTTTGGCCCTCCTGGAGGAATTCGCCAGCCGGGCAGTGCTGGACGCACGCATTTTCCCGAGGCGAAAGGAGCAAGCCCTGGCCACATGAGGTACACAGCGGCGCACAAGAGGAGGTGGATGCCGCATGGCAAGCGGTGCACCCGGCCGGACAGGGCTCGCAGGAGTAGCTTGACGAGCAGAGGAAGAAGCCATCGGAGCAGGAAGGCACACAATGGCCGGCCTCAAAGAGCGAGGTGCCCAGGCAGGAGGTGCATCCGTCGGGCCCTGGGCCGTTGCAAGTCCGGCATGAAGCATGGCACGACTCACACACGCGACCCGGGTCGCCCGCCAGGCCGGGGGCAAACTCCCCCGCAGGGCACTCCCGAAGGCAGAATCCCTCGGAAAGGACCGCATCGCCAGGGCAGCTGGTGCACCGATCGGAGCCGACCTCCAGGCAGGACGCGCAAGAGCCATCACACGGGAGGCAGAGGCCGTCACTTTCAAACATCCCCGCCGGGCAGTCAGAGAAGCAGTGCCCGGCAACATGCAGCGGGGTGTCCGGGCCACAGGTCAGACATTGCCCCACGCCGGAGCCATAGCAGGAGGCACAGCTCCCATGGCAGGCGGCACAAAGGCCACCCTCGGCCAAGGTGCTCGATGGACAGGAAGCCACACATTCGGCCGAATGGAGCAGCCAGCCACGCTCGCAGAGGGTGCACAGTTCCGCCGCGTCGGAGCAGCTGCTGCAGTGCGGCCCGCATTGGCTACAGCCGGAGGCACTTGTGTTGTAGCCCACCGGGCAGGCAGGCACACAGCGTGTGGGCGACTGGCCAGCCGGGAGGGACAGCAAGCCACCGGGGCAGGCGGGAATGCAGTCGGTGCGCCGGGTCCCGACACATTGGTCGCACGACGGGTTC